CAGAGCTACAGGAAGTCTACTGACTGAAAATTCTACAACAAGAAGAAAGAGAAAACCAGAAGGAAAATCAGAGGAGCTGAAAAATCCTAAGGTACGGAGACATGCTACGCGTGCACGGAGAGGACAGAGCCAGAGAGGAGGGGGAGGCTGAGTTCCTTGCTGGTGTTCCCTAGCAGGAAAGAAATAAAAGCCCCGGACTGGGCTGAACCCCAGAACTGGCAGCGCTGAGCCCCAGTTCTGGGCCAGACCCTGGGGACCCAGGCTTAGGCAGGGGGAGACGGGGCTGTGAGGCGGAATCCCAGGGAAGCAGCAAAAAGCAGAGCCCCCAGAGTCATGCACATTGCGCGCAGAGGACGGAATGTTGACTCTGATGCTAGATTGCCCTAGCGGGAAGGAAACAAAAGCTCCGGCTGTGCTGAGCCCCAGTTCTGACTGTTCTGTACCCAAGTTCTAGGCCAGACCCTGGGGACCCAGGCTCAAACAGAGGGAGACGGGGCTGAGAGGCGGAACCCCAGGGGAGCGGCGAAAGGCAGAGCCCCCAGTGTTGCACACATTGCGCGCAGAGGACAGTCTGTTGACTCTGATGCTAGACTGCCCTAGCGGGAAGGAGACAAAAGCTCCAGTCTGGGAAGAATGCAATGAGGAGCGGGAGCTGCTGCTGGGCGCCAGCAAGGAGCCAGGTGACAGGGCCCCTGGGGGGGAGTGCTGCTGGCCCCTCGACTGCTGATCACGGGCCACAGAGCCAAGGCCGGGGGCTGCTTCCTGGGCGGCACCAACCCCGGCAACAGGCTGAAGCCGCTGGAGATCAAAGGGGTGCCACAGGCCAGCCTGCTGAGCTTCCAAGACGAGGAGGAAGAAACCGAAGAAGTTTTCAATGTGAAGAAATCAAGTTATAGCAAAAGATAGAAAAATTACTTAAGAAAGAATAAAAAGAAGATCTTGAAAAATCGAAGATTAAGACAGAACTCAACCCAGCAGCCAACATTGCAACATAAATGCGTTAAAAAAAAAAAAAAAGACAGAATGTTGGAGCAGAGGCGGCAAGGCCCAGAGTGGCCAGACCCAGGGGAGTGGCAGCCAGGCCCGGAGCAGCAGCAGCCAGAACCAGAACAGCAGCAGCCAGGCCTGGAGCAGCCAGGTCTAGGGCAGTGGCAGCCAGGCCTGGGGCAGCAGCAACCAAGCCCGGAGCAGCCAGGCCGGGAGCTGCCAGGCCCAGAGCGGCTGGGCCCGGAGCAGCCGGGCCCAGAGCAGACAGGCCCAGAGCAGCCGGGTCGGGAGCAGCCAGGCCCAGAGTAGCAGCTAAGCCCGGAGCAGCCAGGCAGGGAGCGGCCAGGCCCGGAGCAACAGCAGCCAAGGCCGGAGCAGCCAGGCTGGAAGTGGCCAGGCCCAGAGTGGCAGGGCCCAGAGCGGCAGGGCCCAGAGCAGCCAGGCCCAGAGCAGCTGCAGCCAGGCCCGGAGCAGCAGCGGCCAGACCCGGAGCAGCTGGTTGTGGAGCGGACCAGAGCAGCAGAGGCCAGGCCCGAAGCAGCCGGCCCCGGAACAGCTCCTTCCTTGCCTGCCCATGCCCCAGGGCTGCTTCTCAGACATGGCTGGAAACTTTTGGGGGAACTTGAGGGTCTGCTGAATCAAGTGATGAAGGCTTAGATCTGGATGTGTTGAGTTGTTGTAGCGCTGGGATGTTGATCTGTGAGTGCCTTGTGTGGGGTCTGGATGAGGTTGGTTGATCTATTTGGAAGTGTCTTTTGTGTGAAGTGTATCCTTGGGCATGTGGAGGTATTATTGATTTGAGAAAATACTAAGTAATTGATTTACTACCTGAAAAATTTAAAGTTCTGAAAGTTTAAGGTCTCTTGCCAAAAAGAGGTTTTAAAGCTAACACCTTAATTTCAATGGAGAAAGGGGAGGACAAGCCCTTCCCACCAAGAACAGGTAATCCAATTCCAGCAGCAGCTATGTTTAAACAATGTGTCCATTTACACTTGGGTGGCTATGCCTTTTGATAGCCTAGGGCAAGTTTACATGTAAACAAGTTTGCTTCTCAGTTCCCAGGACAGAAAAAACAAGGTTTAAAATTATTAGATTTTAAAATTTATTCTTAAAAATATAAAAGTTTATTAATTAGAAAAAAAAAAACCAAGGAAATTAAAAAACCTGATGAACAATATCAACTGTTGATTATAATAGAATCAGAGAAACGGGAGGGGAGTGGACTGACAATTCTCGGGGAAAAGGGGAGTGGTGGATGCGGGAAGAGACTGAACATAGACTGTGCACCTATGGATGACAATGGGGGGTGGGGAAAGGGCAGAGGGTGGGGTGGGAACCTGGTGGAGGGGGGAAGAAATGAGGAACCTTTGTAATAATATGAACAATAAAGATTGATTTTAAATAAATAAATAAATAAATAAATAAATAGGAAACGGCAGCCTAATCATATGATTCAGAAATACAGAGGCAAATATAAGTAGTCCAAAACATTATGGTAGTTGTCTCTGGAGAGTGAGAATGTGGAATGGCAAGGCAGACTAGAGTTTTTTGTGTGTGTGCGTTTTTTTTTCAGACTAGAGTTTTTAATAAATTCTTTTGCACTATTGGATTTTAAAATTTTGTACATATATCGATTTGGTAAAAAGTAAAATGAGCTAAAAGCACAAATAATGTTAAAAGAAAAAATCCTGAGTTCTCATCACCCAGAAAAATATTTTTTTTCTTTTCCTTTTCACTGTACCTGTACACACAGAGACATTGTGAGTACAGGTCAAAAGAGATCCTGTTGCATTGGATCTGAGGTGGGAGCCAGGATTCTGCATTTTCAAGATAGGAGATTTGGGTGAAGGTAATCTGCTAATAGCTAGAAAATGTTCAGAAACACTTCTTTACCTAATGTTAAAAATCAGTGTATCTTGTAATCAATGTGATCTCCTGCTATGCTCCTTTTGAAGTAGCAAGTTTTAGTAACTAAAGAATGAAATTACATGCTTAAGGCTATGTATTCAATCAGGCCAAGAACTGGGCCAAGAATTGAGACTTTTTAACTCCATAATTAATATATTGATTTTTAAGCTTCCATTATGTATTGTGGCTACCAAAATGAGTAAGATTTCTTTGCTTTGAAAAGTGCAAGTCTAGTGGGGCAATTATAATGCATATATATATATATATATATATATATATATATATTATTGATTTTTACAGAGAGGAAGGGAGAGAGATAGAGAGCTAGAAACGTCGATGAGAGAGAAACATCGACCAGCTGCCTCTTGCACACCCCCTATCAGGGATGTGCCCGCAAACAACGTACATGCCCTTGACTGGAATCGAACCGGGGACCTTTCAGTCCGCAGACCGACGCTCTACCACTGAGCCAAACCGGTTTTGGCTAATGCTTAAAATATATTAATAAAGATTTTACAATGTATTTTTTTTTCACATTTCATGTCAGGATTAATACAGTTATAACACAAGAAGAGGTAGCTGCTTCACAGCTCAGTAGGGAATATAATGGGGATTCAACTTACCAGGGACTCCAGGGAAATCAAAAGGGCTTTGTTACCTTAGGGGGCCCTTAGGAGGATGCAGGGCCCATGAGAAGAGGCAGAGTGCCCAACTGATATGGTATGTCCCAGGAGAGAGTGGCACCCACCTCTCAGCTGTCTGGACTTATTCTCAGGCAAAATTGAGAACTTCCTCACCATACTCCAAACATCTGACAAGGTTCTGGCCTTGCTAGTGCAGGGTGAGGTAGGAGCCAGCCCAACACAGCTCATACACTCATATCTCATCTGATTTCCACAGGCCTGAAGGCAATTTTTATTCCCATTTCACAGATGACAACACAATGGATCTATAACTGCCCGGTTGGATCCATAACTCCATCTTTGAGTCCCAGAGATAATGTGACCACAGGAATTCGAAGTGTCTCCACTAACTTCATAAACTCACTGAACAGTTATTTTGATTGCTTGGTATATACACTGAGTGGCCAGATTATTATGATCTCTGAACGCATAATAATCTGGCCAGTCAGTGTGTGTGTGTGTGTGTGTGTGTGTGTGTGTGCGCACACACACATTTTAGAGGCTCGGTGCATAAATTTGTGCATGGGTGGGGTCCGGCCAGCCTGACCAGGGGGAGGGGACATGGACGGTTGGCTGGCCTGCCTGCTGGTCGAACTCCTGGTTGAGGGGACAATTTGCATATAAGCCTTTTATTATATAGGATATATACTGAGTTGCCAGATTATTATGCATTCAGAGATCATAATAATCTGGGCACTCAGTGTGTTTTTCTATTTTTAAAAAATATTTTATTTTTATTTATTTTTAAATATATATATATTTTATTGATTTTTTTTTTTACAGAGAGGAAGAGAGAGATAGAGAGCTAGAAACGTTGATGAGAGAGAAACATCGACCAGCTGCCTCTTGCACACCCCCCACCGGGGATGTGCCCGCAACAATGTACATGCCCTTGACCGGAATCAAACCTGGTACCTTTCAGTCCGCAGACCGATGCTCTACCACTGAGCCAAACCGGCTTCGGCAAAAACTATTTTATTTTTTATTATTTTTTATTTTATGACAAAGTAATATGTTTTTAGGGGGAAATGTGCAAATGAGAAAGCATAAGCTCCTCCACTGTCACCACACAGAGAAAATCATTATTCCTCCTTTGGTCTACTGTTCCATAAGTTTTCATACACATGGATGTATCATGTAACTTCCCCCCCCAAAAATTGGCTGATACAGTATATGCAGTTCTGAAAACTATTTATTATTTTTACAATGTACCGGGAACATATATTCCATGCACTTGGGTGAAAATCCCCTACTAAAACAGAGAGCACTGTGCAGTTGGATCAAAAGGCTGCTGGTAACAAGGGTGATGCCTAAAATAAAGTATCAGCATGAAGTTAAAACACATCGTCTGGCAAATGCTTGCCAGGGAAAGCAGGGTTGGCAATATTCCCATCAGAGAAACTGATTTAAAGGCCAAAGGCATTAAATGTATGGACTATCTTCAAGGTCTCTGTGGCCCCTACCTCCACCCCTCATTCCCCTGACACCCCGCTGGCCCCTTGGGAAGAATCGATCCCGTACATCTCTTTGCATCCAGTGAAAACTACCTGTTTTCTGCCTTTTCCTGAGCTCTTCCCGAAGCCTGGCTACATTTCCATATTCTCTCATCCTCTCCTCAATGCCCACATGCCTTTTCCGTAAGTCCTCCTGATAGTCCTTGAGGGAATCATCTGTCCACCTGTCCGTTTTTTGCTTTGCTTTCCGGGGCACATACTCTTCAGCCGGGCGTTTTTCGGCAGCTTGCAGCTGGCTCTCTGGCTTGGCCTGGGCTTCTGGCTTGCCCTCACTGCGAGCTTTTCCCTCACCCTGGGACTTGCTCTGCTTTTCTGGTTTCCCCTCAGCATCTGGCTGTCCTTGATCTTGGAGCTTTCCCTCTTGCTCTGGCTTCCCCTCCACTTCTGGCTTTTCCTTCCCGTCTGACTTTCCTTCATCCTCTGTATCTATTTTATCTTCTGGCTTTCCCTCGCTTTCCAGTTTTCCTTCATTTTCGTTGTAGAGTTTTTCCATGTTGAGATGTCCCCTCCTTTGCCTAGGAGGCAAAGAGGAGACAAAGGAGACTGAGGACTTAGGTGGTGGAATGAAGGTCCTGATACTTGCCTTTATGACATAGGGGTTTCCTCACAGGATCCTAACATTCAGGTGTACTCCCACCCATACTTTTTTCTCCTTTTCGTCCCACTCCACACATGTTTGCATGAGCCAGCCTTACAGCAACTTCCATATGTGCTTCTCCGTGTATTCAAGCGGAGTGTGCTGAGAAGTGTGTAAAAACAGATGTGTCCCTAAACTTTGCTCTGGCCTTAGGTGTTCCCATAACAATTTTAACTGGGTAGCCCCCAACTTACAATGACCTGCAAGAATCCTGACTGGTTTCTTTTTTGCCTTCCCTGTAATTGTATGACTTACAGATCTACAGACACAACAACAATGACCCGTTCTCAGATTTCAGGGGTACTCAAATATTTTCAAGAGGCTTCACAGATGCCACACAACCATCTCTCACTTCCTTGTTCTCCCCTGCTATCCTCACCAGCATAAAGCACCAAGTTCTTCAGGTCCTGACAGAGGCCATAGATTCTGAGCCTGCAATAGGAAAACTTACAAGAGAGGTGCCTTTCCCACTGACCTGCCCTGCTCCCGGTCTTTCCTTTTCTTCTGCAACCACAGCTCTGAAGACCTGTAGCGAGACAGAAGACAGATGCTGAAGGAGGGATTGCGAAGTGAATGACTGGTAACAGGGACACTGACTCTTTTTGGACTATACTTGTCCAAACTTTCCCAGTTCCTGTTACCTGTGCCCTTTTCCCTTGGGCCTCTGCTCCCCCTCTACTGTCCCCCCATAACAGCCTCCATTTTTCTACCACTGGGCAATGACAGATAAAAATTATTCCCAAAGTGTTTCTATATTTTTGAATCTTCCTCCCAAAGTTCCACCTCACTTTTTCTTGCACTAAAATCAGTGAGGTTCAGGACAGTGGTGTTCAGAAGGCAGACCATGTTGTGCTCAGGTTTCTGCCTTCCAAGCTCCCTACCCCAGGGTGTCCAGATAGCACAAAGCCCCCCACTTCTCTGAAATGGTGATGGTAGAGTTAAGGGGCAGGGTAGAAATGTCCAGAGCATTCCTGCCACTCCCCCCTCTTCCACATGCACAGAAAGATGACATTTTACTACAGTGCAAGAGACAAATTATTTACAAACTCAGTAAAAATTTAGGTCTATGCTACCTCCTCATAACCCTCCCTAATTCAGAAGCTATTCCTCCACAACAGGGAGCTGGACTCCACAGACTGAACCTCTATCACCTTCATAGGCAGCACCTGGCCACGTAAACCCCCATCCCACGTGCACGTGCACGCGCATACACAAATACATGCACACACACACACGCACGCACCACACACATACACACACACACACACACACAAAACGCAATTTTTGGCTCCAAAATGAGCGGAAGGTGGGGAAGATATACTGAGGGCACAGTCTTTTTCAGGGGTCCGCCCCACCCCCCCTCACCCCCCAATCCGGAGATATCAAGATTTGCCCTCCTCCAGCCATCCAGCAGTGATCAGGCCACTTCCTTGCCATCCTCTTCAAACAGCAACTCCCGCCCCTCCCCCCCCCTCTCTCTCTCTCACACACACACACACACACACACACACACACACACACACACACTCCCTCCATCAGATAGCCTGCCTCCTAGGACATCCTAATTGATACCCATCCTCAACCCATGTTCCCTCTCCATCTGCTCCCACCAGGTCCTCCATTTCTTGCACCAAACCATGGGCATCAGGGGAGGGGCAGAGAGAATTGAGTCATGGACCCTCTCGTATTTGCCCTCTGCCACCCCCACCTCAGGGGTCAGCAGGCAGCAGTGGATTTATAGCCTTCCCAGAGAGATGCCTCCTTCTCATATTTCTTGCAGCCCTTAAGCCTGCACTTATCCAGAAAAATAAGAGATGCTACCCAGATCTCTCTCACAACATTCACTCAATTTTCTGCGCCAAAATGAATGGGGGTGAGAAAGAGGTTGCATCTGTAAAGCAGACTAGATCCTCTAGCGTCTAGCCTCGATCCGTCACCAATCCTACTTCAAGGTTACTCCCCCACACAGACAGACACACACTCTTGTACCGACCTGCTATGGGGCAGTTGGCACCGCTGTCCCTCAGTCTAAAAATCTTTCTCCATGGAAATAAGGAACGTACCTGGAAGAGACGGACTTCTGTATACATCGGCTCCTGATCACGTGAGGGAAACGTCATCAGTGGGCTCGGGTCCCTTGTTCCCCTCCCATCAGGAGAAAGCGCGTCAGGAGCCAGCCTTTTCGTCTTTCATTATCCCCCTTCCCCTCCCACTCCCTTCCTTCACTAACCTCCCTCCCCTTGTCCCCTGCCCCTCCCGCTCCTTTCCTCTGGCTTGTGACCCTGTCACTCATTTTAGCTTTTCTTAATCCCAGAGGTCAACTGTGGCCCCTTATCCCTGAGGTATGTGTTCTGTTTCATCAAGGAAGGGCTGCATCTTCTCTGAAGAATTTTTCTTTCTCTTCATTGACCTTGGAGCATCTATGCCTGTAATATATTTCTCACGCAGCTTTGGATGGATGCTCATTCCTCCTGTCCTCTAGACCTTCACATAATAGCTACAGAGTGGATTCTCAGATAAGAAAGCAGCTAGTTAAAAGACTAGAGATTTTATTTTCTTCTAAGATTTTTTAATTTTATTTAATGTACTACCCTCAGCATGGGTTGCTCTTTTTTTAATTTAAAAGGTTTTAATTTTTTAAGGAACTCAGATATTGAGGATCAACTTCTGCTATTATAGGATATTTATGTAAAAGAAATATGATACAGCTGATACATCCTGGTACCTTTGCTCCTTGCTTAAATAAATTCTTGAAGTGCATGAAAGGAAAATATGCTAATAAACATAATCTTATCCTTTATTCTCCAGTTTCTTTTTTAATGCTTCACAAAGTTTATAATCACTTTAAAATGCCTTGAAGAAGGTAATAACACAGTATCTCTCTTTTTAAAAGGTTTTTGTGCCAAGGCCGGTTTGGCTCAATGGATAGAGCGTGGGCTTGGGAACTGAAGGGTCCCGGGTTCGATTCCGGTCAGGGGCATTTGCCTTGGTTGTGGACATATCCCCAGTGGGGGGTGTGCAGGAGGCGGCTGATCGATGACTCTCTCTCTCATCGATGTTTCTAGCTCTCTATCTCTCTCCCTTCCTCTCTGTACAAAATCAATAAAATATATATATATTTTTTAAAAAGGTTTTTGTTTTTGTGGCATCGTAATTTCTTTTAATCTTTTTTTCTAAATGTTTCTTTTATTGTTATTCTATTGCAAATGTCTCCCATTTTTCTTCCCTTTGCCCCCTCCATCCTGCTTTTGCCCCTCCTAGGCCTTAACCACATTATTGCCTGTGTCCATGGACTATGCATACATACATATATTTCTTTGGTTGTTATCTTCACTTCATCCCCTCTTCCTTCCCCTCTGAGATCTGTCCGTCTGTTCCATGTATCCATGCCTCTGGCCCTGTTTTCCTTGTCAGTTTATTTTGTTCTTAAGATCCCACATATAAGTGAAACCATGTGATAATTGTCTTTCTATGACTGGCTTATTTCATTTAGCATAATAGTCTCTAGGTCCATAGTATGGGTTACTCTTATTTAAAAAATTAAATAAAGGTATTTTCATTTGAAGAAGGGGAAAAACCAATAAGATTCCAAAATTCTGAGACCACGTTAAGTTCATAACATTAAATTTTACTCTATAGAACATTTGGTTGGCTACATACAAAATGTTTTTAGTTTTTACAAATAGCTTGTTCTGTTAAGTTTTAATTTTCCCAAACAATGCCCAAGTGCTAAGTAGACTTGCTGGAATCTAATGGTTGACACATATTATTCTCAAAAATTTGGCCGATGGCTATTTTTATTCAAAGATTACGCTATGAGCAAAGGCAGCTGATGATCTCTGCCTTGTCAAGAAGGAAGGGATATGTTGTTTCCCAACCCCTTCTCACCTTCCAAAGCCTCTCATCCTTTGTATTCAGGCACTTGACAGTTGCTCATTCCAAAAATATCCATAGAGAGGTGACCAAGATGATGACCTGAGTAAATGCCTTTGGCTCCTTCCCTCCCTCCCCCAAATTCCCACAGAGGCAATTCGACCCCAGCAGAGATGGGAATGCTGTTCTGACAACTGAAAACCAGAACAGGTCTCTTCTAGACCCCTGCTCTCTACCCTATTCCCAGTGCCAAATAGAAGCTTCCTTGACCCTGCCTACCATCTGACTTAAGAGATGCAGTCTGCTGGATCTCTCAACTTCAGTATCTTCACCTCCAGGGCACCTAGAAAGACCCCAGTCATGCTGTAAAGTTGCTGCCTGTTAGTCCATATTCACCCTGGCACCCTCTTAGCCAGGTTAGGCCAGTGTCTAAGGAACTCAGACATGCTGACCATACTGATTGACCTAAACCAGGTGTTTGCACCTGAGGAAGTCTGTACCCTATGAACTTGAGAAACCATGATACATGAGCAGCTTGACATCAAGAATAAGCAGAAGCTAGGAGATAGACAAAGGACAGAGAGGAGGAGAAGATGCTACTTGGGAATGAGATAGAAATTGGAAGACACAAATAGCTGAGCCATGTTAAAGGGAGAGGACTTACTCCTTGAGTTCAGGCATTCTTTTTTTTTAATTGTTATATCTATATCCTATATAATAAAAGCCTAAATGCTTAAGTATTCTGTCATCCAGTTGGCCATTCAATCAATCAAAGCGTTATATGCTAATAATATGCTAAGGCTGCTCAACTGCTTGCTATGATGTGCACTGACCACCAGGGAGAAGATGCTCAGACAAGTAGGTGAACTTGCTGCTGGGATCCAGCCCATCGGGACTGAGTGAGATGGGCTGGACACACCCTGGAGTCCTCCCATGGTCCCTCCCTGGCTGCCCAACCTCCCTCAGTCCCTCCCCAGCCCTGATCGTGCATTGGTGAGGTTTCTCAGACTGGCCTGCACCCTCTCACAATTCAGGACCCCTCGGGGGATGTCAGAGAGCCAGTTTCAGTCCAATCCCACAGACCAGGCCAAGGGACCCCACTGGTGCATGAATTCATTCACTGGGCCTCTAATATATATATCCCAGTGGGTGAAATTTGCACAGGGGGAGTGGGGCAGAGATTTTCCCTCAGCCCAGCATACACCTCTCCAATCTTGGACCCTTTGGGGGATGTCCGACTGTCGGTTTAGGCTTGATCCCTCTCACAATCCGAGACCGCTGGCTCTAACCATTCACCTGCATGCCTGCCTGATTGCCCCTAACTGCCTCCTCCACTAGCCTGGTTGTCCCTCATGGCCTCTCCACCAGCCTGGTCACCTCATGCAGCCTGCTTGTTCAGTCGATTGGTCATCCCTCACTAACCCCCCTGCCAGCGTGGTTGCCCCACACAGCCTACTTGTTCAGTCATTTGGTCACCTCTCAGGCCAGCCCTGGGCAGCTGGACAGCTGCTATCCAAGACTTGCCTGTGCCCTGGGCTGGCCCTGGGCAGCTGGGGAGCTGAGGGGACTGGGGGACTCCAGAAGCAGGCAAGTGGAGCAGCTGGACCCGCCTGGGGACGGGCTCAGCCTGCTGAGGGGACTGGGTGCTGCCATCTTGTGGCTGTGGGCATCGCCATCTTTGAGGACGTGGCACTCAAGTAGTATATTCCCTCCTTATTGGCTGTGGGTGCTATCATCTTTGTGAAGGTGCGATGGTCACTTAGTATACTCCCTCTTTATTAGATAGGATAGGTTTTCTTCTATTTTAATATATATGTTTAGTGCTATAAATTTCCCCTTGAATACTTCTTTTGCCACATCCCACAAATTATCATATATTGTGTTTTCATTTTCACTCAGTTCAAAGTACCTTAAATTTCCCTTTTGACTTCTTTGAGTTATTTATTCATGTGTTATTTGAAGTTAAATTTAAATACTGGGTATATTCCAGAGATATTTCTGTTATTAGTTTCTCATTTAAATTCACTGTGCTCAGAGAACATACATTTTATTATTTAAATTCTGTAAACATTATTGAGACTTATTTTATGACCTTGAATATAGACTATCTTGGTAAATGTTCAATATACACGTGAAACACATATTCATTCTACTGTCATTGGTGGCAAGTTTTACAATTGTCAACTAGCTAAGTTGGTTCATAGTGTTGTTCAAGACTTATATATACCTGCTGATTTTCTGTCTACTTGTTCTATTTTTTTTAGAAAGGGTGTTGAAATCTCTGACTGTAATTGTTGACTTATCTGTTTCTCCTTACAGTTCTATCAGTTTTTGCTGCATCTATTTTGAAGCACTGTAATATGTGAATGTTTAAGATTGTTATGTCCTCTTGACAAACTCACCACTTAAAATTATGCAATGACTTTCTATGACCATATTATCCCTGATATTATTCTTTGCTCTGATAGTCACTCAAGCTTTGTTTTGATTTTGGTGTTAAGATTGTCCATCTTTTTCCATTCTTGTACTTGTATTTATTTGCATCTTTAAATTTAAAATAGGATTCATACAGGCAAATGTATTTGTGTCTTCTTTTTATATACAATCTGATAATTTCTACTTTATAACCAAGGTGTTTAGACCATTTACATTAATGTGATTATTGGTATGTTTGTGTTTAAGTCAACCACCTTGTTATTTGTTTCCATTTGTCCCATCTGTTCTTTGTTCTCTTGTTCCTCTAACATTTTTTCTGAGAACACTGAAGATTTCATCTTATCTCTTAAGTTGGTTTTATTAGTTACAACATTTTTCATGGGTGAGGTTTTTAATACATTTTTAACATTTCAGAATCTACCTTCAAGTGATATCAATGTGTAGAATAAGAGCTTTAAAATTGTGTGCTTTATTCCCCCTATCCTGTCATTTGTGCTTTTACTTCCACATATATTATAGATCCTACAATACACAGTAATCTGGGGGCAACCACAAGGCTCACATTATTGTTTCTCCTCTCTCAGGAAACTTTCTTCCACTATCTAATGTTCAATAATTGAAAACTGCTTTTCATAAAATTTGTCAAGGTTTTGGCTGTTTTAATAGGGAGGTAAATATAATCCATTACTCCATTTTCATTTGAAGAATAAATGTGGCTTAATGTTTTAAATGATGGACAATCATAAAGGCTTTATTTCACTTCAAACCAAAGAGCATTGCCTATGCCAGTGTTTCCCAAAGTGTGGTACGTGTACCCTCAGGGGTACGGGAAGAGTTTGGTGGGGGTACGCGTTGCATCGGTGTTTGGTGGGGATATGCACTGCACCGTGTTTAGCTGCGCCTTATTCTACGTTCTAATGAGTACGAGGGATACTCAGCTTTACGAAAATTATAGAAAGGTACACATATGTCAAAAGTTTGGGAAACACTGGCCTATGCTATCTGGCCTTCCTGGAAGAGTCCTGTGTCTGTGTCTGCACTACTTTCTTTGGTCACAAGGTGGCGAACAACCTATTTTCTGAATTTTCTTCAGTGGTGAGTCCTGGTGAGGCCAAGGAGGAGGCCCCAAGAAAGGTGGCCAGCCCAAGAACAAAGAGGCAAGAGTGGGCAAGGCCAGGAAGCCGCCCCCCCCCCCACCGCCCGTCCCCGCAACAGCCAGGCAAGGCCACAAAGGCCCTTCTGGTACGAATGGCCCCCATGGGAAGTCAAAGGTTAAAGGCAGAAGGAATAGCTCAGCAGATGCCAAGGCCTACGGGAAAACCAAAGCTGGTTCTCAGAGTTAAAAACCTATGGTCACCAAGGGTGAGAATGGTGTGGCTTCTGCAGCCAAAAAGAAGACAGGGAACAAGGTCCTTAAAGAGGCAGTCTGTACCCTATGAACTCGAGAAACCCTGATACATGAGCAGCTTGACATCAAGAATAAGCAGAAGCTAGGAGGTAGATAAAAGGGGTCAGGGAAGGATCGAAAGCCAAAGCTGCTGCTGCTGCTCCTAAAGACAGTGGGTCCAAAGCAGTACCCATACCATTAGCCAGAGAGACAGAGGTCCCCAAGGAGGCCTGGCATACCAAGGCCTCGTCATCCAAAGGGACCAGTACGAAGGCAGAAGCCAAGAGCTAGAGGCAGGATGGAGAGACTAAGATTCTATGGGAGTTTTTATTCCCGAACAAACCATCACTCTTTTTATTTTACTATTTATTTAACAATAAGGAATTCTTTAAAAAAAAAAAAAAAAAAAAAAAAAAAAAAAAAAAAAAAAACAAGGGAAGCTGGTTAGCAGAGAGCTCTCTCTCCAGAAACTACAATCTTAAACCTACCCTTCTCTGGGGCTTACAGGGCAACTTGGATCTGCCTGCACATGGAAGAAATATACATTTGGGGGGGGCATATGTGTGTCTAACCCCCTATCGTAGTATCAATTCACATGTGAGCAAGCTTTCCAGTTTCTCTGACAGAACTGCTAAATATCCTGAGTTCAATGAAGACAGAATGCTTCTGCTTGCCATGGAGGCTGATGCAAATACTGGCTATCAAGAGCAAGAAGTATGGTAAGGCATAAGCTTCTCTGTTCATCAGTTTTCTTTCCAACTTTAGTTTTTCTTTTTATAAACTTATGTCTTGCATGAATGTGCTTATGTGTCGAGCACCTGAAAGAGGGAGGGTTTGGAATTACTTAAGCATCTGATTCATGGTGTCTAAGGTTTGCTGTGTTACATGATATTTTCACCTGTCAATTCACTATTCCCTTTGGTTTCCTAAGTGCTGTTGTGAAGTTATAGTCTAGAGCAGGGGTTGGCAAACTTTTTCTGTTAGGGCTGCCAGATAATAAATATGCAAGCTTTGCAGGCAGGCCATACTATTTCTTTGGCAACTATTCATCTATTGGACTGACAATTCTGGGGGGAAAGGGAGTGGTGGATGAGGGGAGAGACTAAACATAAACTGTGCACCTATGGATGAGGACAATGGGGGGTGGGGAAAGGGCAGAGGGAGGGGTGGGAACCTGGTGGAGGGGGGAAGAAATGAGGAACCTTTGTAATAATATGAACAATAAAGATTGATTTAAAAAAAAAGCTTTCAAACTTATTGCATTGACAAAAACCCACAGAAGCCCTGGGAAGTGATATTATCTTCATCTTCATAAATACAATAATTTTTAAAGAGATAGGTCTCATTATTATAGATCCAGAGGTAAGCTAAAACAGATTCTGATAGGAATGTTTAGAAAGTGTTCAGATGGCTTTTATCCTGTGGTCAAGCTATTCCATTAGGTAATATACACTGAGTGGCCAGATTATTATGATCCCTGAATGCATAATAATCTGGCCAGTGTATATCCTATATAAAAAAAAAGGCTAATATACAAATTGTCCCTCCACCAGGAGTTCGACCAGCAGGCAGGCTGGCCAACCGCCCATGTCCCCTCCCCCTGGACAAGCTGGCCGGACCTCACCCATGCACAAATTCATGCACTGGGCTTCTAATACACACACACACACACACACACACACACACTGAGTGGCCAGATATTATGCGTTCAGAGATCATAATAATCTGGCCACTGAGTGTATGTTTGGTTTTGAAAAAATGAGCAAATATAGATAAGAAAATAAATGCTTTTAAAAACTGCTTTATTAACCACAATATGTAATGAGCATCTTTCCATGCAGTAGATAAAACTCCCCCGCTCACAGAAACTTACAAATTGGGTCAAAACACAACATTCAATTAGAAACTGGTATTAGGCGACCCACAGGAAACAAGTAACACTAAAGGTTTACAAGAAGGTACATCACAAACAAGTTTAGGAAGCAGGTGTCTCCTTATCAACTTCAGGGAAAACACTAAGATTCAAGGCATAAGGCAAAACTCATCATGACAGTCATGGCGAGGGGGTCAGTGCTAACTGCCCTCAGCCTCTGACTTAATGCTTTCCCCTCAGCGTTTCCATCAGCCATCTCATCTCCCCAGCTCTCTCCCTGTGCTCTCATCTCAGCCTGGCCTGTGGCTCTCCGAGCCTCTGACCCCCCGCCCATCTGTACTGCAGGATGGGCCGCCTCACATGGAACCCTCTGCGATTTCCTCTGGGCACACAATAGTCACCAGGCTCTCCTTTATCAGCATCTTGCTCCTTTGCATCCTTTGTCTCGTTTTCCTGTTGGGCATCTTCCACGTTGAGATTTTTAGCCACTTGTTCCTCTCTGGACGCCATTGCTCCTAGGAGACAAGAGATAGAAGGGACCACTTCATTGATGGGTTGATCAGCACTGAGGACAAAGGCCCTACTACGCACCTTTCAGGACTCAGAGGCCTGAATTTCAAACACTTTTTAAAATGGCATTTCCCCACCTGAGAGGCTCCCTCCGCCCCCTAGGGGGCCTGCAGCCCCACCTCCCCCCTCCCCCCCCTCTCCCTCCCCTCGCCCCAAACCCACCATTTTCCCTGCGATCCAAGCCGGGCCTCCGAAGGCACCAAAGCGGAGGACGGGATGGGGGTGGGTGAGGACTTGGGGTCTCAGGGCTTTCGGTGTTCCCCGCCCCCAGCACGCGCCCGGCACGCACCGGGGCCTGTCCTCGCAGCGGCTCCCCGGATGGCCGCCGCCGGAGCGGCTCGGGGCGCTGCCCACACCGGCCCCCCCCCCCGCCCCCCTGGTCCCCCCGCCCCCGGGCCCCCCGCCCTCGGCCGCCCCCTGCTTAGACCCCCTCCCCCGCGGGCCCCGCGGTGCGTCCGCCGCCCCCCCCCCCGCCCTCCCGGTCCTCCCAGCCATCCCCCCCCGCCCCCCCCGACCCCCGGCCTCCCCCCTGGTCCCCCCCCCCCGGCCCCCGGCCGCCTCCTGCTTAGACCCCTCCCCCGCGGGCCGCCGCGGTCCCCCCTGAGGGGCCCCCAGGAGCTCCGTTCCGCGTCCTCGAGCAGCCCAACCCCAACCCCCCGGAGGGCACCCCAGCCGTCTGCTTCCCCCCCCCCCCCCCCGCCACCCCCTCCTGTGGGGCGGAGAGCGTGGTTTCACCCCCCCCCCCCCGCCCCATACCGGGCGCTGCTCCGGCCCCTCACCTGCTCCGCTGCCGCCGCTGCCCCTCGGGCTGCCCGCCCGCGCCCTCGGGGCCGCGGGAGCTGCACCGGGAAGGGCGGGAAGGGCGTGGGCCTCCGGGGTCCGGCGCTGGAGCGAGGCGCGTGAGGCCTCTGAGAGAGAGAGAGAGAGAGACAGAGAGAGAGAGAGAGAGTCAGCCGTCCTCCACCCCTGTCCTTGCTGCTTATATATTGAGGGGCCTGGTGGCCATTCCCATTGCTTCTCTGGGTACTTGCCTCTTTCCTCCCCTTTCCCCAGTATACACACTTCCACCCGACCACCACCTCCCCCCACCCCGCCAGGACTCAGTTGTAAACTTTTTTTTAAATCAATTTTTATTGTTCATATTATTACAAAGGTTCCTCATTTCTTACCCCCTCCACCAGGTTCCCACCCCACCCTCCGCCCCCTCCCCATCCCCCATTGTCCTCATCCATAGGTGCACAGTTTATGTTCAGTCTCTTCTTCCCTCCCTTTCCCCATAGTAAATCCCTTTTCAGATAGTAAATCAGTTACTTAGCATTTTCTCATATCAATAATACCTCCACATGCCCAATGATACACTTCACACAAAAGACATTTCCCAATAGGTCAACTAGCCTCATCCAGGCCCCACCCAAGGCACTCACAGATCAACACCCCAGCCCTATACTAACTCAACACATCCAGATCTAAGCCTTCATCACTTGATTCAGCAGACCCTCAAGTTCCCGCAAAAGTTTCCAGCCATGTCTGAGAGGCAGCCGTGGGGCAGGGGCAGGCGAGGAGCGAGCTGTTCTGGGCCTGGCTGCTCAGGGCCTGGCCTCTGTTGCTCTGGTTCGTTCCACAACCAGCTGCTCCGGGCCTGGCCACTCCCAGCCTGGCAGCCGCTGCTCCAGGCCTGGCCGCACCCGACACGGCTGCTCCCCTGGGCCTGGCCGCTCCCAGCCTGGCTGCCGCTGCTCCGGGCCTGGCCGCACCCGACCCGGCTGCTCCCCCGGGCCTCAGTTGTAAACTTTTAAGGGGATGCAAAAAACCTCAGTAGTAAAAATGAATCACATTTTAGTTTAATATTTTTTTTAAAAATTATGCAGGAATACCTATGATGAGCAATATGCACTACATATTGATCCTCCTTGTTACCAATGCCCACTGTTTTCTTTAACAAAAATGCATGGAGAGACAGGAAATGAGTCAAGGACATGGATTTTTCCCCCTAATTGTTCTTAACTAGAGGACCAGTGCATTAATCCGTGCACTTGGGGGTGGGGATTCTCAGCCTGGCCTGTGCCCTCTAGCAGTCTGGGAGCCCTGAGGGATGTCCACTATGATGTCAGCAAGACATCCTTTGCATTGCCACAGAGTCCCGGAGAGGCTCCCACCACTGCCACTGTGCTTGCCAGTCATGAGCCCAGCTTCTGGCTGAGCTGCACTCCCCCTGTGGGAGCACACTGACCACCAGGGGGCAGCTCCTGTTTTGAGTGTCTGCCCCCTGGTGGCCAGCACACATCATAGTGACCCATCATTCCACCATTACACATTTGCATATTAGCCTTTTATTATGTAGGATACCTTTGTTCATTCCTTTTTGTTTAAAAATTTATTCTCTATATATAGTTCACATTAACTTTTTTATGGGAAATTTCAAACATATTTAAAAATAAAATAGTATAGTCCTCCATGGATACCAATGGAAAATTGGTTCCAGGACCCCAGGGGATACCAAAACTTCAGGGCTCAAACGTCTTATATAAAACTACAGGCCCAATGCACAAAATTCAAGCAAGGGGCTCCGCCCTTATAGCTGTGGGGGCTGCCAAGGCCCTTACAGCCCTAGCTTCATCCAGAAAGTCATCCAGAAGGACATCCAGAAGGTGGTTTGGCTGTCCTGTCTAATTAGCATATTATACTTTCATTATTATAGGTGACATGGTCTTTGCATATAACCTATGCACACCTTCCAACATTCTTTAAATCATCTCTAGACTACTTATAATATGTAATGCTATGTAAATGCTATACAAATAGTTTATGCTATATTATTTAGGAAATAAGAAGAAAAAATGTCTGTACATGTTCAAATGCAACCATCATCGGCCTAACATAATACTTGTCAGCATAAATGTAATTTTTAAAATAAATCTTTATTATTCAGATTATTACAGATGTTCCTCTTTTTCCCCCTCATAACTCCCCTCCACCTGATTCCCCCACGCCCACCCCATACCCTTACCACCTGCCACTGTCTTCATCCATAAGTGTAAGATTTTTTTAAAAATATATTTTATTGACTTTTTACAGAGGAAGAGAGAGGAATAGAGAGTTAGAAACATCGATGAGAGAGAATCATCAATCAGCTGCCTCTTGCACATACCCTACTGGGGATGTGCCCGCAACCAAGGTACATGCCCTTGATCAGAATCAAACCTGGGATCTTTCAGTCCACAGGCTGATGCTCTATCCACTGAGCCAAACAGGTTTCGGCATAAGTGTAAGATTTTTGTCCAATCTCTTCCCACACTCCTCAGACTCCCTTCCCCCTGAGAACTGTCAGTCCACTCCCTTTTTATGTCCCTGATTCTATTATATTCACCAATCCATTCTGTTCTTCAGATTTTTTATTCACTTGATTTTTAGATTCACTTGTTGATAGGTATGTATTTGATGTCTTTTTGTTGTTCATAATTTTTACCTTTACCTTTTTCTTCTTTTTCCTCTTCTTAAAGAATACTCTTCAGCATTTCATGCAATCCTGGTTTGGTGGTGATGAACTCCTTTGGCTTTTTCTTGTCTGTGAAGCTCTTTATCTAACCTTCTATTCTGAATGATAGCTTTTCTGGGTAGAGTAATCTTGATTGGGAAATACTTTGAATATTTCTTGCCGCTCCCTTCTGGCCTGCATAGTTTCTGTTGAGAAATCAGCTGACAGTCGTATAGATACTCCCTTGTAGGTAACTGTTTTTGTCTTGCTGCTTTCAAGATTCTCTCTCTGTCCTTAGCCCTTGGCATTTTAATTATGATGTGTCTTGGTGTGGTCCTCTTTGTATTCCTCTTGTTTGGGGTTCTCTGTACTTCCTTGTAAGTCTATTTCTTTCATCAGGTAAGAAAAGTTTTCAGTCATTATTTCTTCTAATAGGTTTTCATTATTGTTCTCTCTCTCTCTTCTTCTGGAACCCCCATAATTCGGATGTTGGAATGCTTGAAGTTGTCCCAGTGGCTCCTTACACTATCTTCATAGTTTTGCCTTCTTTTTTCTTTTGTTTTTCTGGTTGGGTGCCTTTTGTTTCCTCATATTTCAAATCTTTGGTTTTATTCTTAGGGTCCTTTGGTCTACTGTTGAATTTCTATATATTCTTTATTTCAGACAGTGTATGTTTAATTTCTGTCTGGTCCTTTTTTTTTTTGGCATTCTCATTAAAAGGTATCACTAAGTTCCTCAGAGGTTCCTAGAAGATTCTTGAATAACTTTATAACTGTGGTTTTGAACTCTACATCCAATAGTTTGCTTTCCTCCATTTCTTTTATTCGTAACATGTTTGTCTCCACATTCTGGCTGCTTCCCTGTGTTGGTAGAATGGTTTTATGTGGTAGGTGACCTATAGGGCCCAATGATTCAGCCTCTCCAATCACCTGAGGTGGACACTCTTGGTGCACTCCTTTGTGGTTAACCCTCTGTGTCTTGTTGTAGCTAAGCCTTGATTGTTGTTGGTATCATTGGGAGGAACTGACCTCCAGGCCAATTGGCTGTGGGGACCCACTGTATTTATAATGGAAGAACTGCTGTCCTGGAGACACACTTATGGGGCAGGGTTTGTTTCAGTGAGGCTTTGATGCTCACTGAGTCTGCCTCTTGAATATGTCACTTATGGATGTGAGTAGTTGAAATCTGATGTTATCTCACACTGACCACTAGGTACACTGGCTCCTGGATCTCCAATGGGGTGCAGGTCAGCTACTGTCTGAGGCCACCCAGCAGGAATTACAACGATA